CAAAAGGATCAGTCGGCATATGTCAGACATAAGAAATCGCAGCATCCAGAAACCAGCGGAGAACCTTTTGATTTTCCTGGACACGCTGTTGCAGATCTGAAAAACACTGTTCTTAAAAAAAAACAAAAAAACCCCCAAGAACCAACAACCATCAAAGGGAATATACAGCATGAAAGTACTGAATTGGGATGCAAGAAACGAAATACCGCTCGTCATCCTGGCTTAAACAGGGATGTAGGTTTCCTGCTCACTACAGTTTTAACAGCTCAACGGGACCCGGTGTTTAGAAACCTCAGTTGGCTCTTTTTGACATTCTTGTAACCCTTTACTGATGTCGGTTAACTTTAATATGCTTCAAGTGCCTTCTTCCTCCATAAATTGCTCGTTGTCATACTTAGAAAAGAGCCAGAATCCAGTCACACCCTAAAGACTAACAAAATATGTGACAGGGTATGAGCTTTAGTGAGTCACTGCTCACTTCTTCAGATACCTACGTGAAGAAGTGAGCAGTGACTCATGAAACCTCATACCCTGCTATATATATATATTTAGTCTTTAAGGTGTGACTGGACTCTTGCTCTTTTCTACTACTACAGACAGACTACCTACGTGAAGGAGTGAGCAATGACTCATGAAAGCTCATACCCTGCCATATATATTTATTTTAGTCTTTAAGGTGTGACTGGACTCTTGCTCTACAGACAGACTAACATAGCCAGTTTGGTGTAGCGGTTAGGAACACGGACTCTGATCTGGGAGAACCAGGTTTGATTCCCCACTCCTCCACATGCAGCTGCTGGTGTGACCTTGGGTCAGTCACAAGTTCATTCTGAGCCGTTCTCTCAGGGGCAGTCCTCGAAAGAGCTCTCTCAGCCCCACCTACCTCCCAGGGTGTCTGTTGCGGGGAGGGGAAGGGAAAGGAGATTGTAAGCCGCTCTGAGACTCCTTCTGGTAGTGAAGGGCAGGTTATAAATCCCATCTCCTCCTCCTCCTCCTCCTCCTCCTCCTCCTCCTCTTCTTCCTCCCCTCGAATAGGACTTGGAAATCAACTGGCAGCTCTTATAGCTGTTTTCAGATTGATGTGATGCATTCCCATTGGCTGCCCTCTGACAATAATTGGACAGCCGCATTCTGGGCCAGCTGCAGTCTTCAAGGGCAGCCCAACACAGAGCCCATTGCAGTAATCCAGCCGTGAGGTTCCAGACATGTGTGTCAGTATGGCCAGCCTGGCTGAGTCAAAGAGAGGAGAGGGTTGGTGAACCAGGGGCAGCCAACAGAAGGCGCTTTGGGCCATTGTGCCAATCTGCTTCACAGAGAGCGAGGCTGGGTCCGCAAGAACCCTAAAGCTCTTAGGCTGCTTTGCAGATGGCCCACTCCACTCCGTCTAAGGCAGGTGGATCCTGTCCCTCTAAAGCATCAGCTTGCCTGACGAGCATAACTTCCGCCGTGTCTGAATTCAGCATTGCTTTTTCTGCCACAAGAGGTGGAATAATACTTTTGGGTGGTGTTTTTTTTTTAAGTGCCAAATTTGATAAAATGTTTTTTTTTAAAATAATAAACTTTTATTAATATCTATAGACAAAATACAATATGACATCTGTTACAAAACGTTAAACAACAAACAACAAAACATACAACTTTCAACATATATAACTAAGAGTCCAGGTACAAGCTTAAAAGTCTAAGTATAATAGCGTAGTAAAGCCGAAAAAAATAATAATACAAAATTCCAAAATATTACTTTTTATGCCACAGGTTTTTATAATAAGTTTAACACTATAGTACCCAATTGTGACGTATAAAGGAATAATATTGAGATTGTTGAGAACTACTAATATTTTCTAAAATAAATTCCAATTTGTTTAAAATAGGATGCCAACGGCCATAAAATGAATCAGATTTCTGGTTAGATTCTCTGTAAGCTAAAGATTCTGAAATTTTACAAATTTGATAAAATGTTGTTTGAAAGTTCTGGAGTACAGAAACATGACCACTAGAGCCCAGATATTCTATTCCCTCTGATTGCAATGCCAAGCTATTTTCTTCTGCGAACGATCCCAAAGTATAGAAGGGCATTTGTGTTATCACGGTTGAATGCACTTTCACCTGCAGTTTTAACGGGGAGATCCCACGGCATACCGTTCTCTGATAGGTTAGGGAAGAGTGATGGTTTGATGATAGAGCCTCTCCTTGGCATGCAGAAGGTCCCAGGTTCAATCCCCGGTATCTCCAGTTAAAAAGATCTGGCAGTAGGTGAGGTGAAAGACCTCTGCCTGAGACCCTGGAGTAGACACTGCCAATCTGAGAAGACAATACTGAGCCAGTTTGGTGGTGTCGTGGTTAAGTGCGCGGACTCTAATCTGAGCCTACGGGGAGGGTGGGATAGAAATATAAATAATAAATAAATAAATAAATAATAATCTGGGAGAACTGGGTTTGATTCCCCACTCCTCCACTCACAGCTGCTGGATGACCTTGGGCAAGCCATAGTTCTGACAAGAGCTGTTCTTGAAAAAGAGCAGTTTCTGTCAGAGCTCTCTGAGCCCCACCTACCTCACAGGGTTTCTGTTGTGGGGAGGGGAAGGGAGAGGAGACTGTAAGCCGCTCTGAGACCCCTTTGGGTAGTGAAGGGCGGGGTATAAATCCAATCTCCTCTTCTTCTTGATGCACCACGGGGATGATTCAATACAAGGCAGCTACGTGTGTGTTCATGTACGTAGATCAAATAGACTCTATTGATCATGTAGTATTAGATTGGCTTGCAGTTTCAGATTTCAGATCAAACTTAATTCTCCCATTAGTTGGAGATGACTGGTTCCCTGGAGGAGAAAAATTCTTAGAATCATAGAGTTGGAAGGGGACCTACGGGGTCATCTAGTCCAACCCCCTGCACAATGCAGGAAATTCACAAATACCTCCCCACACACACACCCTCAGTGACCCCTGTTCCAAGCTCAGAAGATGACAAAAAAATCTCCAGGATCCCCAGGCAAACTGGCCTGGAGAAAAATTGCCTCCTGACCCCAAAGTGGCAATCAACATTTCCCTGGGCGTGTAAGAAAGGGCCACAAGAACTAAGCACTGAGGCAACCCTTCCTGCCCTCCCTCTCATGAGCTGCTTAAGTTCACAGACTCCGCAGTGCTGTCAGATAGCCATCTAGCCTCTGTTTGAAAACCTCCCAAGAAGGAGAGCCCACCAACCTCTTGAGGAAGCCAGTTCCATTGAGGAACGGCTCTAACTGTCAGGAATTTCTTCCTAATGTTTAGCTGAAAACTCTTCTTATTTAATTTCAACCCGTTGGTTCTGGTCCGACCTTCTGGGGCCACAGAAAACAACTCCGCACCATCCTCTTTAGGACATCTTCAGATACTTGAAGATGGTTATCATATCACCTCTCAGTCGTCTCCTCTCCAGGCTAAACATACCCAGCTCCTCACCATCTTAGTTATTAAGAGATGCAGAAAACGGAGTTACTGTACAGGTGGCCAAATATTTGGTGGCAGTTCTATAACACAGCATATCTAAAACCACCCGCCTGGTTCGTTCTACTTAACGGTGTGCTCCTGTTCACGATTGGTGGTGGAAAGAACAGGGACTGGATTGGGAAAGTTCCAAATCAACACCCTTCTTCACTAATTTATGTGCTTTTGAGAAGGTTCAATCCAGATTCGTTCGCAGGGGTTTACAGGTTCCTCCGGGGGTGCCGAAAGCCCTTCTACGCCTGGAAACCGGTCTAATGAGAAGAGAAGCCAGAGTATTGTTATCCTCTGCATATCAACGGCTCAAGATTCATTCAAATCAAAAAGGACTTTTTCCCCCCTAATAAACAAAGATCCCTATCAGCCAAGGTGGATTCGAATGACCAAGACTAAGTTAGAAAAAAACGGGACTCTCGCCTGAGGATTTATTGGCGCAAAACAGCATACAGGCGAGAAGTATAATGAAACAAAGGATTTGTGATCTAGAGTGCCACGGGGATTTAAATCGAGCTTCTTTCCTGGTCCATAATAACTCCAGATATGTAATGAAAATGGCTAAATACCTGACTTATCTGGATGTGCCACCCTATAGAAGAGCTCTAACCCTGGCTCGTTGTGCGACTATTTCCTCTAAGGTTTTAGAAGGAAGATATAGACAGATACCATATGAAGACAGGTGCTTTACGGGAGAAGTGGAATTGGATGTTCCACGTGTTCTTTCGGTGCCCTTTTCATCAGGTTTATAGAGATAAGCCTATTGCCCCCCATTGGATAGACCAGGAGCTGCGGTGGCTCAAGTGGTTAAGACACTGAACTGCAGGCTGTGGAAGGTCGGTAGTTCAGCAGTTCGAGACCGAGCTGTCGCATGATGGAGTGAGCTCCCGTCTCTAGTTCCAGCTCCTGCCAACCTAGCAGTTCGAAAGCAAGAGATTGCAAGTAGATAAATAGGTACCACTTCGGTGGGAAGGTAACAGCGTTCTGTGCGCCTTGGTGTTTAGTCATGCCGGCCACATGACCACGGAAACGTCTTCGGACAGCGCTGGCTCTTCGGCTTTGAAACAGAAATGAGCACCACAACCCTAGAGTCAGATTCGACTGGCTTTCGAGCAAGGGAACCTTTACCTGGATAGACCAGTCCTTGATGCCGATAGTGCTGATCTAAAGAAACTTTTGATAGAGGAAAATCAGCAGATCTCCAGACAAATAGCAAAATTCTGCTGGCAGCTGGTAAGATCTCACAATAAGAAGCAGATCAAGTGGAATCCTCATTTACCTTTTGCATGACTCACAAGTAGTTTGGTTTTAAGCATCTCGTAATTATTTTGATATAACGGACTGTTAAACTTTTCTCCTTTTCGCACGTTCATGATTTCAAGGTGGCATGTTTATTTTCAGAGCTGGAAGCTAATCTGCCTGTGTTGAACGAACGTGTGTTATTTTGATAAATGGCCTTTGACCGCAAATAAATAAGCATCGTTCAACACTCTCTTCTTTCTCCGTCTGCTTTTGTCCCTCTGCAGGAGGATCGAAGATTGTCTGCCGCCTCTGGGCAACTCTTCCACCAAGCGATATTCCCCAGCCAAACGGAAGCAACATTATATTAACCAGGCCATTCGCAACTCGGACCTCATTCCCAAGGCCAAAGGACGCAAGAGCCTCCAGCGGCTAGAGAACAGTAAGAGGCCGACGGATAGGAACATTTTCCTAGTTACGGAAACCTACGAGAAGAATAGTTCCCGCCAGGGTGTCAGGTTTCACAGCCAAACAAAGGAGTACACAAGGTTATACTTTATTGCAAGAGCTATAGAGGCAGTAACATTGTCACTGTTAGGAATGGCGACTTTCCTACAAGCATAAAGGGATATAGGATATTCGTACGCACACCCACACCCACAACTAGGCCAATCGGCCTGACTCCCACACGCGGTAGAGGTTTGGACAACAAACAAGGTAAACAGAATAAGAAGCAAAAGGTGGGTGTGGCTGGATGACCACACTTCTGGTAACATGGGGGTGTGGCCTAATATGCCAATGAGCTGTGCTGTCAGGGGTGTGGCCTAATAGGCTAATGAGTTCCTGCTGTTGGGTGTGGCCTATTATGCTAATGAGTTCCTGCTGGGCTTTTTGTACAAAAAAAGCCCTGCCTATCCCATGGGTAATAGACGGGGAGACACTACACAGACAACGAGCTAGCAAGGTCATAGAGAAGCAAAGACAAAGGAATGCAGCATCAGTTGGTACACAGGTCAAGCAGATCCACTCTCGCCCATAAACATCATGGCAGCATAGCTGACACAGGGGTCATTTAGTAGAAAAAAAGGTGCAGGGGCTCATTAGCATAACTCATTAGCATAACTTATTTGTATATGCCATACCTCCTGACGTCACCGAAAGTGTGTCAGAAGGCAACACCCACCGCTCAGGCTCCACTGGACTATTTTGGATTGCTAGCTATTGGGGGGGGGACGTGCAGATCTGTTCTCACAGAGGAGGGAGAGCTTGTACATGAAGGCGGACTGGGGGGGTGTCTGCAACTTACCTGGCTGCTTCTTGTTCCTCATGACCCGACTGAGAGCTGCTGGGAGCAGGGGGCGGGGCTTGTTGCATGTGCCCACCCCCTGAGCTCCTTACTGCCGGAGCTCCGCTCCTGTGCGCTCCTGCAGGAAATGACCCCTGGTTCCCGCAAAGGTTCACACAGCCTTGCCTTCCGTTTCCAACAGAGGACAGCCCAGAGGTCCCAAAGAGGGAAGCCCACGAGTGGGATAGAGATTTTGTCCTTTCCCCTGTTGCTCCTCCTAAGCCCATGTTCCTTTGACTGTCTTTTTATGTTTTTTCTTCTTTTGTCCCCAGCCCGGTATCTAATGACTCTTCTGGAACGGGATGATTACGCCCCCGAAGAGGGGGAACTGGCGCACTCAGCGGCCCCGAGCATCTTCTCCGAAGCGTGCAACAACGAGTCGTATATGGTGGTATGTGCACTCTCTTGGCGTTGCATTTTGGATCTGCCATTGGGAAGCTCCCCTCCCCCCATTTCTGAGCTGACCCCCCCCTCCCCACTTGAAGGTGACCTTCTTGGAGACCTGAGCTCGCTGTGTTCAATGCTGTCCGATCCCCAAGCATTCGAATAAATCCACGTTTGAATCAAAGTAGAATTTTATTACAAAGCGATGGAGCAAACAGGAACATAAGAATTGTTAGGAATAACTACAGACACTGAGGGGCAACATAATAAACGAACTTGAACCAGGTCCTGGCCAATGGGTCCACTTCCCGCGTGCGGGAAAGCAGGTAAAACGAGCGCCCCATCCCTTGGGAACACAACGGTCCATATTATAAACACAAGTTCAGTTCTCAGGCCAAGAATACATAATAAGCGAAGCGACGCCAAAACTCCTTCCCACCTCCAGCTGTCGACCTTGGGCATTATCTGAAGCAGCAAGAAAAGCTAAGTGGCAAAGCATTACAAAGAACTAACGAGAGGGGGGGAAGGGAGGGGAAGCGCAGCCGAAAGGCTGCCAGGCTACACAGCACTCAATGGCAGCTAGCTGACAAATGCCCGCCTCCCTTTGCGAGACATTGGCCCTTCTCCCAACCAATAGCAGTCAACCTTGCAAAACCCAAGTGGCCCAGATTGAAGAAAACCACCTTGCAAGAACTGGGCTGCTTTGCTAAGTTACTTCAGGCACTCAGCCAGAACTCGGGGGGTGGGATGGGGGTATCTCAAGCTCCGTGTCTTTTGCAAGAGCAGGAAAACAATGAGGGTGGATTGGAAGGTTTAATTGTTCAGTGGTTTTAATGGCCGGGGCGGGTCATGTTTGGTGTCGCGGTTAAGGTGCGCGGACTCCAATCTGGGAGAACCGGGTTTGATTCCCCACTCCTCCACTTGAAGCTGGCTGGATGACCTTGGGCAAGTCGTAGCTCTGATAAGAGCTGTTCTTGAAAAAGAGCACTTTCTGTTAGAGCTCTCTCAGCCCCACCTGCCTCACAGGGTGTCTGTTGTGGGGAGGAGAGGGGAAAGGAGTTTGTAAACCGCTCTGAGACTCCTTTGGGTAGTGAAGGGCGGGGTATAGATCCAATCTCATCCTCTCCCCCCCCCTTCCTGTTCAGGGCAGGAAGTAGAGATGTAAAATTTCCAGAAATTTTGAAGCTCGGGGAAAAACGGAAATTTTCGGAAAAATTGAAAAAAAATGCCACATTAGCACTTCTTTTTTCTTTTCCAGATTGAAAGTCATTCTGTTACTTTAGGAACGTAAAATATGACTATGGACATTTTTACTTGGCATGAAATTATCACAACTAGCATATTCAAAATATTGTGTATCCAAACAATTATTACATACAGAATACCCACCCACATGCAAAAACAAAACTGAAACCTTTTTCTTTTCTTGTGACAATAGCACCTCCTAAAGGAACAAATGCATCTTGTTCTTGCATCGGAGAGTTCAGTTTGTAACCTAGGACTTGCTTGTCCTCAGTGCACAGAAATTAGATCAATCTGATGCCATACATATTTTTTAGAAATGTTTTGGAAAATATTTGAACATCTTGTCTTAAAATATTTTATTCATCCTGTTAAAATAAAATGTTCCAGAATCAATTTTTTTTTCGTTTTCTTTTTTGAATTTTTCCAATTTTTCGGAAAAAAACAAAAAAAGGCTTCAGGAAAAAAATGGGGGGAGGGGGAAACGTTTTTTTCCTGAATTTTTCTGTTTTTTTTCCGGGCCTTCACATCTCTAGCAGGAAGTATGTGCCGCCCATCTTGATTGGATACGCGAGATAATGGTTGTAAAGTGGCGTATGCTCCAAACACGGGATCGCTGAGACCACCCGGAGCTTTTCAGGAGGCTGAGTGGGGCTGGGTGCCAGGTTCCAGCTCTTCAGGGCATAGCAAGGCTTATGATGGTAGGAATGAGCTCCCATTTGAGATCAGGGCCCTGCGGGACCTTTTACAGTTCCGCAGGGCCTGCAAGACGGAGCTCTTCCGCCGGGCGGAACTCTTCCCCAGTTCGGAAGGGTGGGCGTCCCCCCTTCTCAACCGGGCCTCCCCTCAGCGGGTCAGAGCTGCGTTACCATCCAAGGACCAAAACTTGAAATAGATGGCATCCATGAGGCTGTAGCCATGACTCGTACCAGAGGAATGTTATTGTATTTTATTGGCATTTTTAACTGTTTTCAATTCTTTGTATGTTGTATATTGTTTATTATGTTTGATGGAACCCATCCTGATCCTGCTATGCAGGGAGGGCAGGATATAAATCCCATAAAATACAAATAAATAAAATAATATAAATAAAATAATAAGCCACGGGGGAGGGTGTTGAATGAATAAGAATAATAGGTTCACATATATTAGAGCTTTAATACATAACGAATCGTAAAAGTACACATTAAAACCAAACCGAGGATGTTTTACTGCTTTTTAAAAAAGAGATTCCTCTTTGTTATCTATTAAAGCTTTGTTAATTTAATATATGTAAACCCATTGTTATTCATGCTGTTACTAGACCTGTTGTCAACCATCTTGGTTTCCTGGTTCTTCTGGGTTGAAGATTTTTCCTGCCCCTTTTGGTTTTGCAGCCTTGGGGAGGGGGCCAAAATGCCTGGCGGCCAGTGTTCCCTCTAAGCCTAGCTCACAGGTTTTCAGGCTCTGGTTCACACATTTTTGCCTTCGCTCAGGAAGGACGGCTCCAGAGCAATAATTTATGCAGCGGCCAAATCGCTCGCTCACAGCTTTAATGCCAGCAGCTCACAAAGTAGAATTTATTTTATTTTTTTTTATTCAAAGATAAGTCAAAGATACAGAAGAAACCAGGAAGCATAAACATGAATGCATTCAACACATATACACCTAAAACATTTCAATAACTATATAGCTCAATGATCTACACCTGACTTAAGCCTTATACCCTTTGTTATGGTCCTTAGTATCCTACTATTAAGATGTGTATTGTGTAAGAAAAAGCAACTCGTAAATGAAGCCATTCGGCATAGCCGACATGTGCTGGTAGAATGTCCTGTGAAGTAGGTTACTAATGCAAAGCACTTTCATACAAATTTGGACTGTGATCCTGAGTGCCCTCGTGTGTGTGTTTCATATGTGTTAGCTATTTTGTCCATCACATAATGATCCCGGCATTTATTCCGCCAGTGATGAAGAGATTTATTTATTTATTTATTTTTAGATTTGTATCCCGCCCTCCCGGTGGCTCAGGGTGGCTAACATGCGGCAAAGCCGAATTGAATAGATAAAGGGCTCTTTTTGTAGAAAAAGCCCAGCAGGAACTCATTAGCATAATAGGCCACACCCTTGACAGCACAGCTCATTAACGCATTAGGCCGCACCCACATGTTACCAGAAGTGTGGTTATCTAGCCACACCCACCTTTTGCTTCTTATTCTGTTTACCTTGTTTGTTGTCCACCAACAGTGATAAAAATCACTCTTTGAGCCACATCCCTTCCAGCATTCGGAGCTGTATTTCTCACAAAGTAGAATTGTTGCTCACAAGACTCCACAGCTTAGAGGGAGCATTGGCGGCCGTAATATGTTTTTGGCTTCCTCTCCTGGAGGGCTGCAAGGTGTGGCCGGCAGATGAATGATTCAACAGTGGACGCAGGATCTGTGTTGACTCATTCCTCCTCCTTCCTGCCCATCCGGTTTTCTTTGCTCACCTGCTTTGTTTTCAGGTGTCTCAGAAAACGAGTAAATATTGGCTTGTTCTTTTCAAATTCAGAATAGCCTGGATATGAAGCAGAACTTCACCTTCTGTGGGGGGGAGGAAGCTGCTTGCACAGATTTGCCACGAGATATGTTGTTTTTCTTATAAGCACATTCATGGAGGATGGAGCTAGCCATGGTGACGGAAGGGAACCTCCACAGCCAGAGGCAGTCTACCTCTAAACGCCCATGCTGGGAGTCAACATGGGAGGGGGAGGCCTTCATGGCCTGTTTGTTGGCCACTGAGAAGGACGATGCTGGACCAGATGGACCACTGGGCCTAATCCAGCAAGGCTCTTGCGTGCTTCTCTGTAATCACTGTGTCACATCGTGTGCCGCTTGTTTTTGTTGATATTTTTTAAAAATGACATTTGATTGTATGGCTTCACTGGTTTTATGACTCCATTGCCAATTAACTTCAAACATAACGTGTGGGGAATCGGCGTTAAAAATCATGTGACAGCAGAAAGTGCCGGAAAGTCGCAGCCGACTTATGGCGCCCCCTGGTGGGGTTTTCAAGGCAAGAGACGTTCAGAGGGGGTTTGTCATTGCCTGCGCTCTGCGTCACAACCCCGGACTTCCTTGGCGGCCTCCGATCCAAGTACCAACCAGAGTTCTCCCTGCTTCCGAGATCTGACACATGCAGGCTAGGCTGCGCTATCCAGGTTGGGGCTAAAATAATCGGAGACTAATAATAAAGTGAACTTGTAATAGTAATTGTAGCTGGTACAATTGAGAGCCAGTTCGGTGTCGTGGTTAAGTGCGCGGACTCTAATCAGGGAGAACCGGGTTTGATTCCCCACTCCTTCACTCGCACCTGGCTGGATGACCTTGGGCAAGCCGTAGCTCTGACAAGAGCTGTCCTTGAAAAAGAGCAGTTTCTGTCAGAGCTCTCTCAGCCCCACCTACCTCACAGGGTGTCTGTTGTGGGGAGGGGAAGGGAGAGGAGTTTGTAGGCCGCTCTGAGACTCCTTTGGGTAGTGAAGGGCGGGGTATAAATCCAATCTCTTCTTCCTCTTTTACCTCACAGGGTGTCTTGTTGTGGGGAGGGGGAGGGAAAGGAGTTTGTAAACCGCTCTGAGACTCCTTTGGGTAGTGATGGGCGGGGTATAAATCCAATCTCCTCCTCCTCCTCCTCCTCCTCTTCTTCTTCTTGTATAGCAATGGTAAATGATTGGCCAGGGACGGCCCAGACTAGCCCGATCTCGTCAGACCTCGGAAGCTAAGCAGGGTCAGCCCTGGTTAGTCCTTGGATGGGAGACCACCCAGGAAGCACAGACAGGCCAGGGCCAACCACCTCTGTTTGTCTCTTACTGTGAAAACCCTGTGGGATCACCATAAGTCAGCACTCTCTACCACCATTAGTAGTAAAAATAGTAATACATGAAAAATAATTTTAAAATTTAAACATAATAAAACATAGTCCTACCTTAATACAATAAAACTTTCATCATCTGTGAGTTTATTGAAATCCCCAAGGTCCAAGCAGCTTAAAAATTAAGAACAGTCCCCTTGACTCTTACGCCCTTCCTGTTCTAAAAGCTTTCCCTCAGTGGATTTAATCTACCAAGGCCTGGTTTCACACACACGGAAGCATGAAGTGGTGGAATGGACAGCATCGCTTCAGGTGACATAAGAACGTAAGAGCCTTGCTGGATCAGACCAGTAGTCCTTTTAGTCCAGCATCTGGTCTCACACAAAGGCCAACCAGTTCTTCTGGAGGGCCAGCAACAGGGCAGAGAGGCCGAGGCCTTCCCTGGTAAGAACATAAGAAGAGCCCTTGTTGGATCAGACCAATAATCCATCTAGTCCAGCATCCTGTCTCACACAGAGGCCAACCAGTTCCTCTGGAGGGCCAATAGCAGGGCATAGAGGCTGAGGCCTTCCCTGATAAGAACATCAGAAGAGCCCTGCTGAATCAGACCAGTGGTCCCTCTAGTCCAGCATCCTGTCTCACACAGAGGCCAACCAGTTCCTCTGGAGGGCCAATAGCAGGGCATAGAGGCTGAGGCCTTCCCTGATAAGAACATCAGAAGAGCCCTGCTGAATCAGACCAGTGGTCCCTCTAGTCCAGCATCCTGTCTCACACAGAGGCCAACCAGTTCCTCTGGAGGGCCAATAGCAGGGCATAGAGGCTGAGGCCTTCCCTGATAAGAACATCAGAAGAGCCCTGCTGAATCAGACCAGTGGTCCCTCTAGTCCAGCATCCTGTCTCACACAGAGGCCAACCAGTTCCTCTGGAGGACCAGCAACAGGGCAGAGAGACCGAGGCCTTCACTGGTAAGAACATCAGAACAGCCTTGCTGGATCAGACCAATAATCCATCTGGTCCAACATCCTGTCTCACACAGTGGCCAACCAGTTCCTCTGGAGGGCCAATAGCAGGGCATAGAGGCTGAGGCCTTCCCTGATAAGAACATCAGAAGAGCCCTGCTGAATCAGACCAGTGGTCCCTCTAGTCCAGCATCCTGTCTCACACAGTGGCCCATCAGTTCCTCTGGAGGTCCAACAACAGGGCAGAGGGGCCGAGGCCTTCCCTGATAAGAACATAAGAAGAGCCCTGCTGGATCAGACCAGTGGTCCATCTAGTCCAGCATCCTGTCTCACACAGAGGCCAACCAGTTCCTCTGGAGGGCCAAAAATGGCACAGAGGCTGAGGCCTTCCCCTGATGTTGCTTCCTGTCTCTGGGATTCAGAGGTTTAGTGCCTCTTGAATGTGGAGGTTCCTCTCAGTCACCATGGTGAGTAGCCGTTTGATAGATCTATCCTCTGTGAATCCATCAAATTTAAAGCTGTTTACTCCTGTGGCCATCACAACATCCTCTGGCAGCGAATTCCACATTTTAATCTCTCGCCCAGTAAAGTAGTCTTTCTTTTTGTCCATCCGGAACCTACTGCCCATCAGGTTCATTGGATGCCTTCTAGTATTTTAGGAGAGGGAGAGAAATTGATGCCTGGTGGTGCCTGGTAGATTCCAGCTTTGAATGTTCTCGTGAATTAAAAAAAAACAACAACCCTGCAAATAGAAAGTCAGCTCAGAAGCAAGGCTTGCTCTGCTGGCTTTCTACTTGCAAGGGTAAGTTCTGAATTGGGATCCTCTGTTTACAGGCAACCCTTCTGCCACCTCGGGTCCCCCCCTTGCAACTCTCATGGGTTGGTCTGTTTCCTTTAATTCACCTCTGGGAAATTTACACACACAGAAATGGACCTCGTGTCACAATCAGACAGTATACGACAGCAATAAAATGCAATTGCAAGCTGAGAATACAGCAGCGTATCACCATTTTTGCAATGATGCGCTGCTTTTCACCTGCCTGGGACAAACCATGTCATCCAGCCATAGTACCACTCCAGTTAAAACAGGGAAAATGTGAAAACCAGATAGCAGCAGAGAGCCATTAAAAAAAAATTAAATGCCAGTAGCAGTAATAATCAGTCATTACCCAGCTTCCTATCGATCTTGAGGCCGTCTTCCCAAAAACATTGCCGAGTCGACAAATAGAAATGCTTTAGCTGGGTGCGCAGGAACGAAAGAAGGGGATTCCCCAAATTGCAGTCTGTAGCTTTAACGGGTCGTTGCGTTTGCCCCGGTTCATGCAGCCGCTAACCGAGGTCGCAAGCGATGGGAGGGGAGGTTGGACCCGGGGTTACGTCCCGTGACGTGCTGTGTCTGTTGGCTAGATCTGGAACGATTTCATGAACCGCT